GCAAAACTAATACAAATGGATTTGGAAATTACAAAATCCTGAAAATATATTAATTTACAAAAATATAAAGATATTAGTTGTATTGATAAACAATTTGAAAGCCGATAAATTATTAGTTTATAGAGGTTCTTCACCATCTAAAATAGATATCGAACAAAATGAACAATATCAGAGCTAGTTTCGATCCTGGGACATGTAGGTTATGGGCCCTCCACGCTTCCGCTGCGCCACTCTGATTAACTTGTGAAGTTTGTAAATTTGAAATCTATAATTACTTGTAAAAATACAATTAAGGATAGTTATAAGATTCTTAATTATGTATTGGAAGATTGATTTACATGCTTTCTTATTATTTTAATCCGTTTCCTAGATTTATGTAATTCTTTGTTCAAGTTTTTGAAAATTACGTAATGACTAATTAATATATTATTATGTAAAAGACCATCATGCATTTCGACGGAACTAGCGCATATATATTTTATGTTTGATGATGACAACAAAAAAATCTATGTTTGATGACACATTCACTAAGAGAGAATATTTTAGGATGCATAAAAGTTCGAAGAATACATTGTTGGTGTAAGTGACTCTAAGATGGAAAAAGTATTGCATTGTAAAATCAATACATGGGAGTTAGGTGGACTGGAGATAGAATGTGCTTTTGAGGTATACTGAAAACAATGTTGGTTCGAATACCTGGAGAAGGCATGATTGCTTTATGACAATGTTAACAAACTGATGTCTTTGTGATCACTAACTTTTGTTGTTCAACTTTTCTCTCCAAATCGGATGCAAAAGAGCTTATTCAAACTATCGAAACAGAAAACATATTAACTGGATATCTATGAGATCCTCAAAGACATCAAATATCTATTTTTCCAATCTTATTCATCAAACTTTATGTTTATTTCGAGATATACAAATGGCTTAACGAATTCTCTGCCAAAATGTGTTTTGCATAATTTAACTATGTCTGTAACATGAAGCCATCAGACTTTTATTTAAAATGAATAATGTCAAATGAAATGTGATTAGGAAGGAAGAGTGATACAAAGAAAAAGGTGTGAACGAGTTTTTTTCTTTTGAAACTTGAGAAACAAAATAGTGAAATTGTTATCTATTGTGATTAAAAAGCTAAACAATGTAGTTTCTTTTTGGTCAAAAAGCTAAATAATGTAGTTAATAGTTTAACTTTGTTATTTCACTCGTTATACGACTCCAATTAATGTCTTCTTTTGGTCATAGCTAGCTAGTATAAAGAAATTTTTTTCTGATCTGTATGAAAAAAAGAATGTGAAACGTAAAGTTATATCTTTACTAGTAAATCAAATATTATTAAAATTGTCTTTTGTGTGAAACTTTAAATATGTAAAAAATTAGATCTATAATGAAACAATCTAAAGTATTTCTTTTTGTACGTAACTCATCTAAACTTCTTTGGTATGAATTGTATTAATGGGCTAATACACTTTATTATACATTTATTTCAATTTTATTACACCATTTTGCATATCACTAACATTATTGGATCTTCAATATCACATGACTAAATCACATTCCGACTAGAGAAATTTTCTTGGGGCAATTACAAAAATACCACTTTTTGTGTGCACATTTGCAAGAATGCAACTTAGGGGTGTCCATTTACAAAAATACCACTAATTATAGATTTATAAAGCCTATATCTTAAAATTTTAAACCCTAAAAAATGTTTTGACACCTAAAACCCCCTAAATACTCAAAACTAAACTCTAATAGAACATAATTAACCCAAACATAAATAATATAAAGAAAAAATAATTTTGAAAAAGTGACATTTTTGTAAAAATTTCAAAAGTGTGGCATTTTTGTAAAGTGACACTTGAAAAGTGGCATTTTTTTAAATTTCTCAATTTTCTTTGTAATAAAAATGCAATCAACCCATTAATTGGTCGACATAAATAATCATAGTGATTTTGATTTGCTTTTAATTAAACTTTCTTCATTATGTTAGTTGACGAAATATCCACCAAATCATCTAGATCAAAACTTACATATCTTTTTAAATTACCATTGTTTTACTTTATAGTTAGAAGCAAGATGACATTACAAAATTATAGTTCTCCTCACATAAATTATAGTTCAAACCCTTCTCTAGTAAAACAAAATAACGAAAAATGAAAAAAAGAAAGATATTAATGGGTATTTTGGCTAGTGATGCATTTTTGGATGTTTTTAAAGATTGTGTCTTTGAAAGAAAACACAAAAAAAAAATTCTTACATGCATTTGACATTGATCGAGATCTTACATCTAATAAGGTTGACCCACGGTGGGAAAAAATATAAGTGGCTGAAATCCTTTTAAAAGGGATCAATGGAGAAACGAAAGCTTGACCAGTGAATATCATTATCTATTAATTACTTTACAGTAAAAAGTTAGCATTTTTCCAACAAAAAGAGGACAAATCATTGTATTGGAAGCCTCTTTACACTTTCACAAAGCATCGAATAATTAGAAGAAATTTGATACCGATGGTCACAA